AAAAAGGCTAACATTCTCCAACCTCCCTATGCATAATTTTACACATTATTAATCTTCTATGTATTACATGTTACAATAAGATAATTAAAAGCAGTAGCTAAAAATGTATTTAATGCTAATTGTTATTTTCTCAAATTGTGGCGCACTGATAACCAGAAAGATAAACTACTACATATTTTGAAACAATTTTAGTGCAATAAACAGTGCTAAGAAATTGGCCAAAGAAGTCACATTTTAAATTTTTAGAATTTGTAAAGCAAAAAAAAAAAAAAAACTTCCACCCTATGACTTTCAGCTTCATAATGTACCTCCTTTATTTATCTCAATTTGGAAGCATTTTCATGTTTAAACTTAATTTTCTAAAGATTTATGTTTAAGTTTAAGTTTCTTAGAATTTTGGGATCTCACTAATCAGAAAACCTAATCTTGTATGCTATTTTCTAATGTGGTCAAACTCAAATTTCCTATTGCCCGATCTATTCCTCTACTATACTCCTAAATGAGTTTATGTTTAGTTATTTTTTTCTTTAGTCGGTATGATTAAAGTATGTCTTCTTTAAAATAATGACATCAGTATCAACATGGAATTTGTTAGAATAACCTCGTATAACAACCATAGTCCTGTAGCTAGTGAGAATAATTTGCTTCTGACGACTAATATAAAAACAACAACATCACAGCAATAAAATAATTAAAAGCAGTATCTCATTTAAAAAGCAGCATCTCATTTTAAAAGTTTGCTGGCCTATCTGCTATAATTCCCATAAGGTATATATATTTTTTTCTTTTTTGACCAACCAGTGGAAGGTAAAATAGCTAGCTGACTCCCAAACATTTTTCATGAAGTATGAAATTTTTAAAAAACTACCTTAAAACTTTTTAAAACCAGCAAGACACTCTTAGAGACAGAGCAGAGAAATGGTTAAGAAAGGAGACAATGAAACGTTACTTATTTAGTTATTTAAGTATCAACACATCACATAACTGTGCACAGCCTCAGTTACCTCCGCCATGTTAGAATAATAGTACCTGTTTTACAAGGTTGTTATGAAAATTATCGGAAATATTTCTCTTAAAACAGAGACTTGGATAACTCCCTAGGTCCCCTCCCACTGTGGAAGCTTCTCTGTCCTCTCAATAAACCTTGCTTTCTTAAAAAACAAAAAAGAGCGACTTGCATATTTTACATGCTTAACAAATATTATCTATTATTATCATCATTACCTTTGTTTTCAAGACTATAAATGCTCTGAAAACCTATGTAGTTCTGAAATTTTTTTTTTTCTTTTTGAGTCAGGGTTTCACTCTGTTGCCCAGGCTGGAGTGCAATGGCACAATCACAGCTCACTGCAGCCTCAAATTCTTGGGCTCAAGCAATTCTTCCACCTCAGTCTCTCAAGTAGCTGAGACTACAGACATGTGCCACTATACCTGGCTAATTTTTTTTTTTTTGTAGAGACAAGGTCTTGCTATGTTGCTCAGGCTGGTCTCAAACGCCTGGGCTCAAATCATCCTCCTGCCTCGGCCTCCCAAAGTGCTCGTACCGAGCCACTGCATCAGGAAGTCCTGCAATATTGACATGTTGGTTTCTAGTACTATCAACTTAAAAAGAAAAAGGTTTTAAACTTATCAGCAAAAGCAAAAAAAAAAAAACCTGTTTTAAATTACTCTAAATTTTTAAATTTACTAGATGACCTTAACAAGATTTACTTAAAGCTGAGTTCACAAAAGAAATTATCTACTGTAATTGCCATATCTGCAAACCAGCAAGAGACAAATTTACATTGCTACTAAGATACTTTCACTATGACTTCTAAAAAGCTGTCAAAGAAACAGATTATGCATGCATGAGTATATACAAGTATGTTTTCAAATGCTAGGTGAAAAAATTTCATATTCTTCAGGGGAAGTCAGGCTCTAACAACTGCAATATTTAAAATGTTCATAAGCGGCTTTACTAAGATTAGAACTAAGTGGGGATTAGAAAATGTATGCACAGGGAATTATAATCTTTAAATAAGGTGATGAAACAATAAAGCTAGGGTTAAGCAAAAAAACCTATGAATCTAAACACCTTGTTACACTTTAAGAATTATATTTTCCTTAAAAATGATATCGCCATTTGTATCTGTGTAAAAGCTTACAGTATACAATGTGTTTTCAATAAAGTATTCTCATATGTTCCACCCAACAACTGTGAATTATTATGTGGGAAAAACACTTTTGTATATTAAGGCAGCAAGGTTCTAAAAGTTAATGTGACATGTCAAAAACTACTGCTAGAATGTGAAAAACAATGAATTTAAACCTGGGCCTTCTTACTTATATTTCAATGTTCTTTCCACAACTCCATAAAGCCACTTCTAAAGAGGCAAACTAGCATCTCCACAAGAAAAAACCTCTAGGCTAAACCACAGACTGCTTTAAACCAGCTGCAGACTAACTGTAAGTCATTTCGCCATACCAGGCCTTTATTGTCTCATCTGTCAAATGAGGTAAACAGATTAGAAAATTAGAAGTCCCTTCCAATTCTAAGGATAAATCTCCAATGCTGTAACCTGCACAGAGTACAGGATTTTTTACAAATACACGATACTGTTAGCAACAAATTCCAAGTCAGAAAGCAGTGGCAATAGCTCTTAATAAATTTACTGCAATTTTTAAACAAATTATTCACATCTATCTGATATGTTACTTCAAAATTATTACATTTATATACAGAAAGCAATCGCAACCTCTTGTGAACTATGATGGAAATGACTAATTTCACTAACCATTCTCTTTCAGACTGCAATAAAGCTCTTAAAACAAACAGTTTAAGAAAAATTTAACTACAGGTCAGCTAATACCAAGAAATTGAAATAATATTTTCACAACTATTTTTCATATTTTTAAAAATAAAAATCTCGTTTCCAAATATCCCAAATAACTACCATTTTTCCGATCTACTTCAAAAGAATCAGTCATATTTTTCAACTTCTATAGGGAAAAAAGTAACATCGACATCTTGATAAAAACATCTTTCGTTAACTTACTTCATTCCACTAGTTGGATACTCGTCTCCAAATTAAATTCACGTTTTTCTTAGATATTAAAGAACCAATATCAGACACTGCACAATGTATTTTCAGCTAGTAAGTTCTTTCCTGGTCTGAATATTTTTGCTCTTTATTCTTCCTCAAACATTCTTCACTTTATTCCTCATTTATACCAAACATTATTCACCCAGTGATTTTTCACTTTCTCAGTTCTGCGTAGTTTATAAAATTACTCCAATAACTACTAATTCTTAACAACTACTATGAAAACTGTAAAGAAACTATAAAACGTTAAAGGTATGTCCTACATGATTACACAACACCCTGGTTTTCCTTAATTTTAACACCTTGCCTATCTTTAAAATAGAACACATAACTCGAATAGTTAAGCTTGACCTTAGCCAAGCTGTCCTGTAGAGTTCTGGAAATTTATTCAGTGCTTGTGTCAACTATAGAAGATCCTGAAGTAGTAAAACATCTCTTCCCTTGTCTATAACCTCCTGGGGGAAACGTTTCCAACCTTTAAGTGTTTCTGCTTTTAACTAAAATTAAGATTTTTCTCAACAAGATTAGTTAAAATAACGACATCTTATACAGCCGACACTATCTAATTTTGCTTTTAAGTCACTTGGCGCCAACAGAACATATGTGCTGCCAGTTCTGAGCTAATCTCCAGGAAGGCCTTTGTATAAGGATTGAAGAAACCGAAACAAACCAGTGCCCAAGATTTGTTAACAGCCTACTTGAGCGTACGTTTTTAACAGTTAATTTACTTTAAAACGGCTATTCCATACTTAAGACTTCCTTTATCATTGGCACAGGCTATCCTAAAATAAAGGAATACAAGACTGAGAACACAGGTCCACTTCAACTTCGGATTCCAAAGCGAGTCGGACCCCTGGATCTGCAACACGCGCGTTCGCAGCGCAGCCACGGGCGGCCGGCGGAAATGACAATCCCGGTGACTCCGCTGCTTTCAGTGTTTCCTAAGTTTCAACTGGCGCAATACTGTTTACTTCCCATCCGAAGCCGCTTCCCGCTGTTATGGTTAAAACAGCTGTCAGCTGGGCCTCGGTAACCTCTTTGTACAGCCGTTCGCTCCACGCTTTGGGATCCTCGGGGACGCGTCATCCCACATCACTCCTCGAAACCAGACCGGAGAGCAGGCGTGCTCCGAGGGACCGGGAACGCCACCCGGCGGGTCCTCGAAAGCGACGGCGAGCACCGGCTGCCGAAGGCGGCACGGTCCGCTCACGCCGGCACCGGAGACACTCCCGCAGCGCGGCCGC